TATGGGTGATTATTTGTACTTTGGGGGCATCCATACTCCCATTTTCTTAATTCCTATGGAAACTATATGAGAGAGTTGGGTTTTAATTAGTTCAGACATGATATTTGGATTTTTCTGGAGTCAAGTTTGTCTTCCAGGTTTGGGAAATGAGATGTTTTATTCTCCTCAGCTGGCTTATGAGAGTATCCTCTTGCCTCCTTCGTCTCTTATACTACCTTCTCTAGATGAAATGCCTCCCCTAATTTAGGCCACGGCTCCTCATTTTTGCATTTTCTTTTTCTCACGAGCGTGCACGTCTCCTCGGATGGTCGGCCATCACCTCTCTTCTACAATCTTCCCTTCCCCAGACTTCAGTCCACTGTGTACGTTGGAGTGTGTCGTCTGTCTGTGTTCCTCAAACTCAGCATTTCTAAACTTTAACTGTCTTTCCTTTCTTTGGCACACATCATTTTCCTTTCATCCCTGTGTATGAATATTTGGTTCATCTCTTAGTCGAGAGAGTTTAAGACCTCAGTACTGGACTGGATCTTTCTCTCTTCCTTGCCCCCATCTAGTCAGTCACTTATCTAGTCTTTCTGCTGCTTCTGTTACAATATCATTCCTTTGTTTCTGTCCTCACCTTGCTCCTCCCAGTCATCTTCCAGATCCAGGCCCTCCTAGTGTCACGTGTGGCCCTGTACTGACCTCCTCTCTGGTCTTCCTCCTTCTTGCTCCTCTCCTCTTGAAGCTGGCTGTCCTGCTTCTTGTTGCTAGATTCTTCTTTCTAAATTACCCATGTCATCATGTTCTCTAACCCTGAGTATGGTAAGACAGGGAACTTCTTGAATTACAGTTACTAATGAAATATAAGGAATTATTTTTTTTTTTTTTTTACTGTTGGAGACCATGGAGTGTGGAAGCCAAAAGATGCTGGGTTCTGATAATTAAAAGTTGGCACTCAACTTTGGGAGAAATCTTCTTGTCCCATAATTAATCCTCTGAATCAGATGACAATAATACCTACTTTATAGAATCATTATGAGGTTAAGTGAGAATATATGTTTATGAATTATGTGCTTTGTGAACGTAGTTTTTTGCCTGTGTTATCTCCACTAATCCTCGCCTACATGGAATTCAAGATCATCTTCATCTGATCGGGGATTCTCTCTGTTAACCTAACTGTTGCCTCTCAGGGGCGTGCCTTGTGTTCGGTCCCCGATTTTTCTTCATACCCATCCCTGCTCCTGCATGGCCTCCTTTCTCCCCCTCTTTCCCTACCTTGGGAATCTCTACCTCCCCTTCAGTGTCAAGGTCAGAATCTGACCTTTTCTATGAGGTCATTTTCTCAAAGTCTACTGATGGTCCACGCTCAGGGATTATAAAGAGGGTAAAGGGGAGGGTAAGTTTCTGCCCTCAAGGAATTTAGAATCTACTGGAGGATCCAGACGTACAACAGACCACAAAATACAGAGTGAGAGGTTGGGATGCTATAGAAATCCAGAGGTAGAGGTGTCCCCTGATGAGGGGAAGCAGGGATCAGGGAGCTTCCATGGCACCTTCGATGCCTGGCTTGTGGCAGGTTTGCTGAAGGTCCGATGGGAAAGGAGCGCGTGGAAATGCTGAGCATGGCCCAAGGTAACATGCAGTGGTCTGCTGGGGAGACGGTGATGGCCTTGAGTGGTGGAGAGATGTGACAGATCTGAGGCATATTGAGCAGTGAGTGGCTGACTGATGTTGGTGCAAAGGGATGGGGAGTGTTGTGTCCTCCCAGGATTTGGCAGTGGGCGTCGGTCTCTTTCACTGATGTTAGGGCCCGTGAGAGGAGGGGCACATGAAAGAATGGGTGGAGTTCAGGTTTAGGTTTGTTGATTTCAGGATGCCCGCGTAGCATCCATGTGGAGATGTCTACTAAGGAATTGAAGATAGAGGTCTGGAGCCTGAGGAGGTGCTCCTGGCTGGTGAGGTACATTTAAGATCAACAGAAGATCTGTGATAGAAAAAGCGATGGGAGTGGCTGAGGTTGCCCAGGATGAACCTGCCCAGTAGAGTGAGAATAGGAGAAGGCTGACTTCGAAGCTTTTAAGGAGCAATTCTCGGGAAAGTGAAGTGCCTGAAGGAGTGCTCAGAGAACTGGAAGGATTACCGGAAAAGATTAATGGCCTGTGAACCAAGATGGGAGTTTACGAAATGAGAAGTTGTAACTAGTTTTCTCCTGCAGGGAAGTCAGGAGACCTAGGACAGCGAAGCGCCATTGGATGGGATTTAGTAACAGAGAGGTCACTGTTGGTCTTTGCTGGGGCTGCGTATGTCGTGCTGCCTGAGTGCAGGGGCTGGGGACGGGGGGTGGGGGGGGGGGAAGTAGGGGTGGAGCAGAGGGCTGATGACAGAGGGTTGGGTAATACTTGTGAGGTGAGGAAGTAAGGGAATGGTTTCAGACAACTCTTTCAAAAAAAAAAAAAAAAGAACAAAACACTATGCTTACCATGGGAGAAAGAGAGAGAGGGTGGGGGGTAGAGGTAGATATAGTACTGATGGAAGATTCTGCTAAGCTTCTCATTTCATGTCTTACATTTAAAAATATTTTTCCTCACTTGGCTTAAAAAAACAAAAGAAACAAACAAACAAACCCTTGCTCCTACCCCTGGCCGATATGGTGGCGGTGTGGTGCCGACCCCAGCTCTGCTGCCTTTCAGCTTTCTGACCCTCAATCTCCTCATGTGTACAGTGGCTGTGATGATGTATCCATTATGGGGTGAGGTTGAAGTGAGAATGCTTATGAAGCATCTGGCACAGCTGTGCAGGGTATGGGCTAAGTCTTACAAGCCCCTGTTGCATGTTGTAGGTACACAGTAGAATGCATTTAGTGATTGACGGGTTGGACACAGGGTGAATGAAACTCATTTCTCACCACCCGAGAACTGTTGCGTGGTTTGTAGTTTCAGCCGCCCCGTGAGGAGTCATTTGATCGTTTTGCTCCAAGAGCTTCGTTCCGGTTGCCTCTGAGCCTCATCTGCCTGCTCTTTCTTCGACAGCAGCACCGAAGCTCCCGGGCCCCCCGTGCAGTTTACAGCAGAGCCGCTGTGCATTCTCTGCGCACCCCAGCGCCTGCAGGGTGCTGGGATGAGCATTGCTTCAGCTGTAGTCATGGGCTTGGGCCCAGGATCTCACTGATGGCCAGGAGCCCTGTCATGCCACCTACTGCTCCCCTAGCTGAGAGCTGACGAAACCTCTCAAGAAGGTGAGGTCTGTGGCAGTCCTGGGTTTCACAGCCATTCCTGAGGTTAGATAGCATCGAGGCTGAGAGGAGACCTTCTAGGTTTTTTCCAGCCAACCATTGATATGATCCTTTGACTGTTAACTGTGTTGCGATGTTGTTAGTTGTAAGCTGGCTTTTTTTTTTTTTTTTTTCGGTACGCGGGCCTCTCACCGTTGTGGCCTCTCCCGTTGCGGAGCACAGGCTCCGGACGCGCAGGCTCAGCGGCCATGGCTCACGGGCCCAGCCGCTCTGCAGCACGCGGGATCCTCCCGGACCGGGGCACGAACCCGCGTCCCCCGCATCGGCAGGTGGACTCCCAACCACTGCGCCACCAGGGAAGCCCTAAGCTGGCTTTTTAAATGAGTGAAATGAAATGGTAGAAAAGGATGAACATGTCCCCAGTGTCTCCTTTATCTTAGGCCTTGAACTTGGTGCTTGATTTCTCCTGCAACCCTCATAGCAGCCCGTGCCCTACGTGTGTTTTATTCCCATTTTCTTCCCCAGCTGGGAAGATCTGAGGTGTAGACATGTTAATTAACTTGCCCTGACTCACACAGCCAGTAATGCGTAGGATCAGCATTCCCATCAGATCTGACTGAAACCGTATCTGCAGTTTTTCCATTATCCTGCCCTGGAGTCCACATGCAGAGCAGTTCTGGGGTTGATATTGGAGGGCCGGAAACGGGAGGGCCAGGATAGGGCAGCGGTGGGATTTGTTTTCCCTGTCAAGCTCGTGAAGGAACTGCTGATCTTCTAAACTGGAGATGTAGTTTGGCTTGGCCTGAACCATGTGGAAAACAGCAGGAAATTTCACTTAAGAATGCAGATTTGGATCCTATCTTGGAAAAGAAGATCTGCCCACAGTGAGCGTGAACAGTCCAGCAGTGTTCGCTGACTCTTCCCTTTGCAGAATATGCTGTCTGGGTCACCAGCTCACGGCCTCCTCTGCTGACGTCCCTGGGCCTCCTCACTCGGGAGCATTGCTCGCCAGATCCTGTAGACGCTTGATTTCGCAACTCTTGGTGCGTTTATCGTTTACTCTTCTATGACGACATTTGACCTATATGGATCATCAAATGTTCTACGTTGACTATAAACATGCCTTTCTTCCTCCCTCTCTACCAACTCCTGATTTTTCTCGCTTCGGTGACCAACACTTAGCATTCTTAAAAAAAATGACTTTCCTGGTACCGCTTAGCAACCCAGAAAGAATAGTGGCAGGAGATCCTGTTGTTTAGTGCACACCCGAGAATTAATTAATTGTCACAGTTGAACTTTTCTCTGTGCCCAGCCCTCTTCTGAGGCCTTTAAGTGAAAACCCTAACTGGTCGTATTGTTAAACTGCTTTTATGATTGGAAAAATGGAGATTCTGTGTCTCAAGGAAGGAAAGGTTTATTAACGGTGGAGCAGAGGCTTGACTGAACCCAGGTGCACTGGATGCGCAAACCTCCGCCGTAGCCTGGAAGGGCAGTGGGAAGACCGGGGGAGCATCAGCACCCGGGACTCCGGACCTGCTGCGATGGGCACACAGCTTTGTTCTCACCGTTCCCGGGCTAGGTCTCCACACGGGCGGGCAGCTGCTGTGCCGGGCTGGGGAACTCCCTCCTCAGCAGGCAGAGCTGGCAGGCGTGCGCAGCAGGCCATGCGATCCTTAATTCTCCCCGGCTTCCCAGGGCCTCGTTATTGCCTTTCTGGTCAAGATTTGAAAGATAAATGCCAGTTATATGCTCGCTCCCCAGAGCAAGCTCCGTAGAGCTTGCTGCTCATGATATTTTGGACTGATTATTTGGTGATGGTGGTTCTCAAATGACAGAGTTGTAGTATAATTCTCTTATTTGTCCTCCACTTTTCAGCGTGTTCTTAAGAAGCTCACATCTGGAACTGCAAGAATTTCAGATCTGAGGGGTTTTCTTTGGCGGGAGGGTGGAGAGGGGTCACTTTCTTGTAGAAAAGCTATACTAAGCCAGTAGAGCATATGGGAATACTGCTGTAGTCCCTAAAGTTCAGTGGAGAGATGTAATGTTCACAAGACCCACCTAATGCAAAGCTTCTGGTGAAAGGTGCAGCCTTTCTTGCATTTTGGAATCACCTGTAACGTAAGAATCTTTCCCAATTTAAGCCTGAGAGAGAGAGAGAATGAGAGAATGAGAGAATGAGAGCGAGAGAGGAGTGTGTGTGTGTGTGTGTGTGTGTGTGTGTGTGTGTGTGTGTGTGTCTCTTCCAATGCTGCTAAGATATAGCTCTGCTGAAGGCCTTGGGAAAGAAACAAGTTACCTCACTGGGTATATTGACTTCTTTCTGTGATAGAATTAGGTCACTGTATTCAAAAGGCACTTCATTAATGCAGGCTTGGAGTCAGTGACCCAAAGGTGTTGGAATGCAAAGCACACAGCCTTCATTCTGGTTTTTCAAGTACTACCCTGAAGTTCTCTTTGCAAAGTTATGCTTGACACCTGTAGCTTACAATTAAGCATGTTTTGGTTCACATTTGGATTTAACTTTTCTTTTTCCAGGTGACCTCTGATTACTTACTTAGTTACTCACTTACTCACTGATTGATGTAGGGAGGGGGGAGGGGGAGGGAGAGGGTGGTGTGAACTGGGTTGTAAACCCCTTGAAGGCAAGGTTTGTGTCTAATGCTTCCTTATAACCTTACCCCAGACCTGGTCATTGTGCAGGTGAAGAGCCTCAGCGCACTTCGACAACTTGCTCAACGTCACACAGACAGTGAGAAGCAAAGCCAGGAGATGAGCTCCAGTTTTTGTGGCCCCAGAACAGGCTGCCTCTCTGCTGTGCTACTTGGCTTGATCAGTGGCACCTCAGAAGTAGCCTGGATGGTGTCCTGGACCTCAGTGCAATCGGCAGGTGTTACGTTTTTGACTGAGTCTTTGGCTCTGACCCTGGGCAAAGCCTTTTAGCTCTCGGAGCTGGAGCTTGCCTGTCTGTGAAATGAGGAAAATAATAAATACCTGGCCTGGCTCCCAAAAGCACTGTGAGAATCTGGAGAGGTACTATGTGCAAGTCCATTTTATATTGTAAGTGCTGCAGCAATGTAATTCATGGCAAATATTTTTTCTGCTTAACAATGAAAATCTTATTACTCATATAGTCAAATTTTATCATTTCCTTAATTGAAATGTATATTTTTGTGTTCTGTTTAGGGAAAGTCTAATGTATACACAGTGAAATTCTGGACTATTAATACAGAGTTAGCTGGTCAGAGAGGCTACAGTCCCAATAGCCAGAGTAGTGGTTTTGAATGAATCTGTTCTAACCCAAATGCATTTCAAGTGGCTTCTGGTCCCTTAAAAAAAATTCTCAGAATCTAAGACCCCAGGTAAAGTCTTCAGTTGTTTGACTACCATTTACCAACCTATTAAGAAAGGAGAGTACTTTTCGCAGGCTTATGGAGATATTGTTCCTTGTTTTCGAAGGGTCATTCCATGGCTTAAGCATTATACTTAAGGGTCGTAATTATTCTTCACGGTGATGATGGTAGTTGCCATGGTCACCATTCTAATGAGGTCATCACTATGGTTATCTGGGTTGTGGATGAGTGGGTAGGTGTCCTCAAGGCCACTCTCAATAGAATTGGGTGTCAAGTTAGCTACCCTAGTTTTTCGCATCACAGTTTAACGACACTGCAATGCTTTTTATTTAAATTAATGAATTAAGACAGGTACTAAAGAGACAAGTCTTCCTTCAGTTTCAACCCCTACCGTCAATGGTAAAGATTCTTTAGTGAGGTCTTGAATCCTAGTGGATATTGTACAGTTTTCATCGGCATCAAACCCTCACTGTGTCTCATTTTTTTCCTCTCATAAAAACAAGAAATAGGAATTTTTGGGATTAACAGATATACACTGCTATATATAAAATAGATAAACAACAAGGACCTACTGTGTAGCACAGGGAACTATATTCAATATCTTATAATAGCCTATAACGGAAAAGAATCTGAAAAAAATGTCTGTCTATAACCAAATCACTTTGCTGTACACCTGAAACACTGTAAATCAACAGTACTTCAATTTATAAATAAATAAATCCCCCACCCCCCCACCCCAATGTAGTAAAAAGATCTGGCATCACAGATAATTTATTTTGTATAATGTGTGTGTGTGTGTGTGTGAATACATACACACCCACATACATACATATATAACATTTTCTTTAAAGTAGTTCCTGCTGTCAACTTCACTGGCATTAATTATCTTTTTTTCTTTATGAACGAAGTGAAACAGTACAACCCAGGAAGGGCAGAGAGAATAGGAATTGGCAGGTGATCTCACGTAAGGCATGGCCAAAGACCAGGAGAAAAGCTGATCCAACACTGGTCCTCTGATGTTTCTAAACAGCTCACTGTGAAGTGAGGGGACTAAAGCGACGGATTGCAAATTCAAATAGAGCCCCAAATCTAATGTCAGTGAGAAAAGTGAGCCAGGTGTAAGAAGAAACAATCGCAGCACCATCAGGCCAATAAAATACAGCTAACAGCTTCGGTGTTAGGAAGGCTGGGGGCTGCGGTGAACTGGGGAGTGTTGCCCCACTCCCGGGCTCTGGGCTGTTGCCATGCAGGTGTGTGGGTCACCTGCCATGGGACTATAAAAAATGGATTTTTATATAAAATTGCATGAATTTTAAAAATTTAAATTAAAAAATTCTGGCTTAATTTCATTAAAACAGACCAAATAAAGCTGGTTTGTGGGTTACAGTTCGTGACGTCTAACTTCATGGTGGGGCCACCCCAGGTCTCTCCATGGGGTTTCTACCAGTACCCTGGGGGACCTAGAGCCTTGTTACCCAGTGCCAGCTCCAAACCTGCCCCTCATTTTTAGTAATTTCCCCCTCACTTAATATTTTCCTTTTCCCCTGAAATTGATGAGCTTGTAAGACAAGAGAGTTCATTATAGGATTTTAGAACTTAATGGCATTGTATTTACTTTGGGATGAATACTTTCTCAAAAGCTCTAAGGTTTCTTCTTCCTTGATGCTGATGCATTAGGTTGAACGGAAATGGAAATGTTTTTATAGATGGCATTTTCATATGGTCTAACTTAACATGTCTAGCACTTGGGAAATTTTGGTAATTGGAATCAGGTATACTGGGGAGAAGGGGGCAGAGCGATTCTGCTCGATTAATTGTGAAGAAACAGCAACGTGGTAAAAGTATGTTCTACCATCTGCCTCCGTAGGATGGCTTCGACTGAGCTTTGAGCTGCTATCTACATGCGGTTGCCCCTTTTCATTGTTGTACTGGTGGCTGTGGGCACTGTGTGGATACTTTTTTTTCATACCACAAAATATACATAGATATTTTGTTTCGTCTTTGCAACAGGAAATTAGAATGTTTCGGGCTAAAGGGAAAAGAGAATATTGATGTTGAAGAGATGAAACCGTACTATTTTTTGAACAGTGATCATAATTACATTGATCACTGATACATTGATATAGTAGTTACCTTTTTGACGGCATCCACTGTTCTTTATTTAGTCATATTGCTATGTATCATATGGGTTGTACCTAGACAATTTTGACACAGTGCGAGACTTTGTTTAAAGTTTTCATTTTCCAGGACTTTTAACATGCTTGGTTGAAACAACCAAAAAATAATGTAGCTGTTATTATTTGAGGCTTGCATGTTACTGTGAGCCATGAGTAGCCGCAGGGTACCCAGTCACGATATGAAGGACCGGCCTCTTTATAAGTACAACCAGTAAACAATTTCGCAGCTTTTCCAACTTGTCCTTTAGTCAGTTTATCTAAGTTGCAATGAGCTTTGAGAAGCTCATTGATGATTTGTTTTCAGTTTCATGTCTAACCTTTGAGTTTGGCAGTTATGAGGAGGAACAGGTTTGGACAGGCAGGTCTTCCACCTCAGAAGGAGTGTGGCAGGCCCTAAAATGCCTGCAATCTTGAGGCAACTCATGTCCATGAATTATTTTCTTGGGTCTCTTCTGTCAGCTCTCAGCCGGAGAGCCACACAGCTCAGTGCTGACAGCCCAAGTGTTTTTCTGTTATGATTTTTGTTTCTTCAACTAGATCATAAGCTCCTTTAGTGCAGGGACCTTAGAATATTTTGTTTCTGCAGCCCCCTATTATACCGGCTTCCACTTTGGAAGCAGCCAGAATCTTGATATTTTTAGCAAAGGGTTCTCTTTAGACTCAGGGACTTGAAAAGTGGAGTTTCAGAAGACAGTTTGAGAGCCAGTAATATCTCTAACCTGAGAGCATGTCCAGACTACAGGCAAACCCTCCTCTGGTAGCTGAAAAGTCTGTGTTTCTGTCTTGCTAGTCACAATAACAACAACAAAGTTAATAAGCGTATGGGTTCAGCAAATGCTGACTAATATTATTTTGTGCCTAGGACTGTTCTAAATTATTAAGATAAATATATATATATATATGTATATATATATTTGTGTGTGTGGTACGCGGGCCTCTCACTGTTGTGGACTCTCCCGTTGCGGAGCACAGGCTCCGGACGCGCAGGCCCAGCGGCCATGGCTCACGGGCCCAGCCGCTCCGCGGCATGTGGGATCTTCCCGGACCGGGGCACGAACCCGTGTCCCCCGCATCGGCAGGCGGACTCTCAACCACTGCGCCACCAGGGAAGCCCTAAGATAAATTTTAATTGATCAAAAAGACATTGGAATCAAATTGCAGATCTGCCACTTACTTAGGCAGGTCATCTAACCCCACTATGCTTCAGTTTCCTCTTCTGTAAAACACTCATATAGGATTGATTTGAGCATTGAATGAGGTATTACCACAGTATTATGTCATTCAAGCCTTATAGATCTTTTATTGGAGCTTGGCATCTTGGAAAAACTCACTATATAGATGCTTCCTGAGTGGTAGTAAGAATAGTACGCCCATTTTTCAAATGAAGAAACTGAGGCTTGCAGAGGCTCCTTTCAGCAGACATGTGCCGCTGGAGCTCACCCAGGCTAGCACACCTGGTGAGGGCACAACCTGGATTTGAACAGAGGTCGGTCCAAGTGCTGGGCTCTTAACTACTCTTTTGCTCCTATTTCTGCGCAACCCGGTGGGGGGGGGGGTTCATGTGTTCATTATAATCTGATGTCTCTCCTCTGGGCAGACTAGGTAATCAAGTAGCTCCAACTTGATTGTAGGGCATGATGTGCCCAAGACAGCCACTTATCTACTTCAGTCAGGTAGTACAGTAAATAAATCACAAATCGGTACAATTTTACCTGTTAAGTTACTGACCAAAAAAAAAGAGGTCCCAAATAGCAAATACTGAGTTTGCTTAGAACGCTAAAAAGTAGTGACTGAGAGCATGGTTGACTGCAGGCAGACACGGTTCAGGGTCAGAGCTCTGCTGCTTACTTGCATACCACTTAAGCCTCAATTTGCTCACCTGTAACACGGAGGTAACAGCAGTATATGTCTTCAGGTTGTGTGAGGTTTTCTAAGAAAATAATCTATGTTAAAATGTGAAGTAGTCTTGGACATATATTAAGGTATCAGTGCACGTTAGTGATTGTTGTTTCAATAACAAGGTTTAGAAGGACAGTTTGTGTCGTACGAGTTCTATCTAATACATTAGAAAAAGTCATTTAAGGAGTTACCTTCTTCCAAAATGTTGGAAATTATTATTAGAAATTGCCTTATAAGAGAAATTATAGAATCACTGATACGTACGACTTAATGTGATGGCTTATACCAAGTGAAACTTTTATCAGCGCTCTCCTTCAAATGCATTTTTAGTGTGAGTTTTTTCACATTTGGATAATAAGAATGTCAATGAAAGTTAAGATGTGCTAATTACGCACAAGAGGAAGAATAAACGTTCTGTTCTGCCCATGTATGAGGAGGTTAGAAAGTTTGGAAATTGTTGCCAGGTTGGATAGGGGCTTGGCTTTAATCAATGGCCTGAAGCAGAAGGTTTGCCTCTCGTTTCTTGTTCACCGTGATGTTTTCCACGTGGTTCATCTCATCTACTTTTAAACCACAGGGTCTGGGTTGCCTCTGCTCCCTCCTGTCTACTTCAGATAGTCAACAGCTCTAGGAACTGCAGTTGGCCCTTCCACTTGTACTAATGCAGAACTTCCCACCCGAGGAAGCAGGAGCAGACTGTCTTCATCTCTGCCTTGCAGAGGAAGAATCTGGGGCCTCTAAAGAGGTTGAGATTCGATTAACATCACATAGCTGGCTGGGACAGAAAAGGGGAGGACCAGTCTTCTTCCTCATCACTGACTCTACAGTGTCCTCTCCAGCATCTGCATGTGGTTCAAGCCTTGGGTTCTTGTTAACCAACCCTAGTGTCTCAGCACATCACCTGGATCATGGGAATCTAGCCATGCATGGGGCCTCGAGCAACCATCCGATCTAATCCCCTCATTTTACTGTGAGAGGCATCAGTGAGCTCCTGAGGAAGTTAAGAGGCTCAAGTCGGACGTAACTTTTGACATTGTCAACGCCCACACCCCGGCTGGCCTTTCTGCTCTAAACCAAAGTCCTGTCCCATCCTGTGCACACAGCAGCCCCCTGGAGACTGTGGGATGCTCCCAGGTGATTTTGCCTAAATTTCACCTCCCTTCTATCCTGCCTTCACCACCATTCCTTTTATTGGGCTCTGAGGGCGTTTGATGGGTTTTCCTAGTTTTTCCTCTGCTTATAGGAGTACAGAGAACAAATGGCCGTCCGTGTCTCTTCTGTCTTAAGTTTCTGTGGCATTTTTTCAGAGGACAGGGCTATGGGTGACATTTTTTGTTCTTAAAGGAAGTGAAACCCTGAGATATCAAGGAAGGAAGGAAAGTAGACAGACTCTGAAGGGGGGCACAGATACCACTAACCTAAATAAAAACGTCCATTCTAATTTAGTTTTCCATCTCCCACTCATATCCCGGAGTGTAATAAGCCCTCCCAACATTCTGTCTCTAGCCAGGAAATTTTTGCCTGGGTCTCTTCATGGAATAGTTAGGATTTTCTGACTAATCACTTTTTCTTTTCTAGGCTCCTTCCTTAAGTATATGGTACTCAGCAATCTAACTGCTCCCCCAGCCCCTTCTTCTTAACCCACATATACCTGGAACACTTTCTGAATAGGTGTTGGAAACAGTAGTCTTAGGACCCCTTGATCCCTTAGCTTCAAGGAGGAAAAGACTGTTAACCTTGAACTGGCAGAAATAACCATACAGTATAAATAAGATAATAGTATAAAATGAAAAGTGTCTGGCTCTGTTTGGCAATATGGAACCAAAGTTTTTGTTGTTCATTTTGCTAGTAAATCGGAGTCTCTAATCAGAATTATGAAAGAAAGTCCTTGTTAAAAAATGGTAATATACCTAACTTGAAAGCAGATTCACTTTGAGAATACGATAGAAAATTCCGTAGCAGATAAATCTTAACCTAGTAAATCGAAAAGTCACCCTACGTTAGGCTCACCTATCTTTCAAAATCCTTATTATAACTTAGAAGAGTTCAGATCTCCTTGCTGGCTTCTTGATTCCCTCAATGAAGTAAAAGCTTCCCCACGACTTTGAATGTGAACCAGACCTAAGCTGTTCCTAAGCCGTTCGTCACTAGTTAGGCAGTTTTCTCAGCGACTTTCCTGACATGTTTTAACATGATCTCTTAAGGAATCAGAAAGAGGATTGCCCTGTTCTTTGTGTTACAACGAAACGATTGAGATTCTTTTATCAAAATGAGGCAGTTAGGAGAGAAAATCATCTTTTTCTCTTTTGATCTCTTTTTAAAAGAAAAGTGAATGAAACGAATTTCAGTTTGGGGTCTTGGGAAACAATTATAAGGGACATTGGATTTTACTCAACTAATAAAGCAAATGTGATTTAAAAATCCACTTAGTAGAAGTGATTTCCAAAATACCGTTTCCACGTTTGAAGGCACAGTGCACGGTTTGCATTACCTGCCTCCCTGAGCTGGAAACCGTGAAGTTCCATGAAGTACGATGACTCTCGTTTCAGAAAGTGGTTCCTCCCAAAGAGAGCTTGTGGATCTCATCCACTTAGCATTCTAACCCCCACTTTTTCTTCAGACCTCAGGTTTAAGCAGAGGTATAATTATACTCTTAATCAGGGCTGCGTCCTACCAACCATGGCTTTTAAGAAAATTTTTAAAAAAAAACAACTTCATTTACCTTTCATTGCGGTAGCTGGCTCTCCATTCACCTGATACGGGTGTCTTCAAGTCGAAACAGGCTTCTCAACTCTAATTAAGAATAAACCTTGAAACTAAGGTTGGCAGGGAAGTTGTTTTTTTGTTAAAGCGTAAAAAATAATCTTTTTTTTTTTTCCCCTGCCGGAGAAGGTAGGTGCTCCCCTACCCACCTTGGGATTGTTCTTTGGGGCACCCTTTCAAACTCTCCTGCTCGGAAACAACTGGAGCAACTTGCTCTCTTGCTAATAGAAATGACTCACACCTGAGAGTAGGTGAGATTTGTAGACTGGGGAAGAACATTTCCTGAACCTGCAGGAATCAGATGGTGATTCACCAGAAGGGAACACAGAGGGCTGGAACCCACAGGGCCAGAGGGCTGTTTAAGGAGGAGGAAGGCATCAAGCCTCACGTTGGGCCCTCTTAAATCAGACCCAGTGTTTAGGGTTTTTTGGGGGGTGGGAGGGGAACTCCCTATTACTAATCAGAAAATATGCATTTACAAACCTTCCTGCTAATTAAATTTTGGATAAAAAGGAACCAGAATATCTTTTATAAAAGACAGATCTTTCATGGTATTATTCAATGTATTAAAGACAAATTAATATGTGTTTATACTGGTGATCGATAACTTGGGAAACCTGTTGTCTTATTCAAGAATCTGCTGAATTCCATATAACCTGCTTTCACCTACACAAAAATATTTTAAATAAAGTTATTTAGGGGGCGAGTTTACCTTATCTCTTGAATTCCACAAGACAACTTTTATTCTTTTAAAAAATCTTCCCACAATGATAAATTTATATAATCGAATCACTTTTTCCTATTTGTAATTAATTTTAGAACTTCCAAAAAATGTCCCAGAGACTCTAAGATTTTCTTGAATGCAACATTCAAACAAGTAAAAGGAAATGAAGAAAATATCACCAAATGAAATCAAAACTTGTTACTATCACGGTTGAAGAGAAAGATAAATGAAAATAATTAAGGTGGAACATTTTTTGAAGCTAGTAAATAATAGGTATTACTTAGTGTTTACTTATGCCTTAAGGAAATAATGTGTATGTACTAGTTGGGTTTTTTTCCTGTGTTTATGCAGAAAAACAAATGTATTTAATTTAAATACCAGTAGTTGAATACCAAAAGTTTGTTTCTTCTGTTGCCTTTTCCTAAACAAACAAAAACAGACAACTAAAATTGAATGGTTTTCCGTTCAATTTTAAGTATGTTGTGGATGAGTAGCTAGCCCTAGGGAAAGTCTCTGAACAAAAATTAGCCAACTTAATAGTGGCTCAGTCGTATAAGAAATTGCCACATTTACTAAACCATCCTTCGTTCAGGTTGGACTCCGCTTTGTGCCATTTGGTACTACTTCTCCAGGGATTTCGCTTTGAACATTTAAAGCCAGTTTCCTGCATCTTGAGCGGGGGGGGGGGGGGGGGAGTTATGCCATGCAGGCCTGAGTTTGAGAGACTTGTTTTTTGGGGGTTGCACTTCTTGCCGTTTGTCACTATGATCCATAAACAGTAAATGATGTACTGCTCAAACTGGGAACTCTGCCAGAATAACCAACTGCCGGTCTTAAAAGCATCTATTCAAAGGAGCACATCCCGTTTAGCCTCTTTAAAAGTATGTTGGGCAAAGACCTTCTCTGCAAGTTCTGAGGATTATCACTCCACAGTTCCAGTGGTGGGCGTGAATTCAAGTGGAGGAGCTTGTGTGGACAAATATTTCACGAGCTCCTGTTGAGGGAATAAAGGCAGTTCTGTTATCTACCTTAAATTTTAATACATTGGTTACCTGGGTTAACTTCATCCCATTACTGTCAACTAACTTAATACGGTTTTTTGGTTTGTTTGTTTTTTAATGTTAAAGAAAATACCTTTCCTCTGTTACATCGCTGCTGATAATATTTTTCATATACTATTCTGTTTTGAATTTGAAGGGAAATGTTTTGATAATTCAGGGTTATACACCTTGACTTTGTATGTGTTGGTTTTGTATTAAGATTTCCACAAGGAGGAGGGAAGGAGCTGGTGTCAGTGCAGTAGGTGGCCCTCCTTTTCTCCTCCTGAGGGTGGGCTGGGCTGGGCATGGACTAGCCTTTTCCTGGCCTTAGTCACAGTGGGATTGTGTATTTAAAAGCCTCTTCGGCTGGCCATGCAAAGTCTTGTAGTGAGAAAGTTAACATGAGGCACCCTTTATGCATTTGTCTTAAAGCACGTTATGCCGATCTCAAGTTGGGACTTGTTAAAGCTGGTCTTACATAACATTCAAAAAGGGAAGTAGTACAGGTTTAGTCAGAGAAGAGTGTAATGCTTTGATGAAAAGAGCAGCTAAGAACCAGTCCATAACTTTATTATTGTTCAAATCACCAAAAGTTTAACCTGCATAATTTTTTTTCTGCCGATTTTTATAGCAAGTCTCACATTTCATAAAAGCCACAGGAGACTTTATAACAATAATTATCTTGCTGCTTCAGTGGAAGATCCTATTAAATGCAAGGAAGCTATTTTAATAATATTGTTTAGCTATTACAAACCCCAAATTTATTTTGAATATAAGACGATGTCCTAGGATATGTGTTGTGTGTTTCTCTACCACCACAATGTTTAAAAAAAATTTTTTTTTGGTTTCATTTTTTATTACAGGTGATTTTTTTCCTTCTATAATGTTACTTTTAAAGATGTTAAACCTACAGACAAGTTGAAATTATAGTTCAAGCAGATTTCATCTAAATTTTCCCATTGACATTTTTCACGCCCTCCCCCTCCCCTCCCCCTCAACACACATATTTGTGGGGAGACCTGTTTGAAGTTGCAGTCATTGTGACAGATGTCCCACCCCTAGCTACTTCAGCATGTATTTCCTAAGAACAAGGATATTCTCCTCCCTGGAAATGCCCTGGTGGTCCAGCGGTTAGGACTCTGTGTTTTCGCTGCCCAGGGCGTGGGTTCAGTACCTGGTAGGGGAAGTAAGATCCTGCAAGCCACACAGCACAGCCCCCAAAAAAACCAACAAAAAAAGGGATTTTCTCCTACCTACTCACAATATTCAGTCTGAATTTTGCTCTTTCGCAGTAACATTCTCTATAGTTTTTTAAGGCAGAACTAATCAGTGATCACACATTGTGTTTTTCTAGTTTACTCTTTTATTCTTTAGAATCATCTTTCTGCTTTTTTTTTTTTTAAATCTCCTTGGCTTTTGAAAATTGGTTTGCTCTGTATTCGCTAGGTCCATCCTGTGGGTCACTTAGTAAGGAGATGCTTTCAAATGTTTCTGAGGCAGTTTGAATATATTAACCTGAAGTCTACCTTGGGGTTTGGAACTTTGAAATCAAATGGGGATATCTATACTCCTGTTTTGGACAGAGACCTGGTTCGTGGATCCAAACTCACTTTTTCTCTGGGATACTGGACAAACTCCTTCAACTTTTCCCGGCTTCAGTTTTCTGTAAAACTAAGGTTCTGGTTTAATCACAGAATTTTAGATGAGAATTTCTATAACCTTTCAAAATATATTCTTAAAGAGACAGAAGCACTCAAGGAGAGAAGGTTTCTAATGTTTCATCCCTTTAAAGGAACGAAAATAGATAATGGTGTTGATACGTCTTCCTAAATCCCAGAATAAACTTTTTTAACCCTATTCCTACCTCCCCCCTTTTTAGTGTGAGGCACTGGCAAATGCATTGCTAAGGCTTACCTTGGTCTTCTAGTCATTTCTGCCTTGCATGTGACCGCCTGCTCTCTCCTCCCTTTATTTGGCTTCGCTGCATTGGCCTGGACCTGGGCACAGTGTTGCTTCCTCCAACGCTGCTAGGCAGAGAATTGGCACTGCAGTCTAATTTTCTCTGTCTCTATAATCTCCGATGTATCCATTTTTTCTGAAAGGAAAATGCACACACGAAGGACCTCTTAGTCTTTCACAGTACATGAACTCATCATTACAAGACAAAGATGAGCAGGGATCTAATTGACACATAGCTCAAATGATCTGTCTGGGATGCCCATGTCTTTTGCATGTAGCCAGAACATACAACAAGGGCTGCAGTAAAATCCTCTCCAGATCTTCCTGTCCCATCTCTCTGTACACAAAAATCGCTCTAACTGTGGCTCACCATCCAGTTGCTGAGAATTTGTGCTGAGTATAGTTATTACAAACCCTTTAATGTTTCCTCGCTGAGTTGGTATCTTTAGGTACCTGTGCTTGAATTACTGTGTTTAATCTGTCATTTGAAATGATTTGTATCTATTAGGTCTGCTTTCAATAAAGCAGTTACCTTTTTCTGGTATGAGAACTTCATGTGTAATGGTCAGTTAAAGGGGAGGGATGGTTTGGCGATTGACTCTGGAGATGTGCCTGCATCTGACCTCCGCCCTCATACTGATACTCTCTTCTATACCCGGCCAGTTCCTCACTTTGGAAATCTTCTTGTGAGGGGCGGTGTCAACCTTGATAAGAGCTCAGTTAACTGGTGTCATATAGTTTCCAGTGTGGATTTCAGCCTCTCCACTTAGGTGCTTTCTTACTTTGGGCAAGTCATTATTATATCTGAGCTTCAATTTCTTCTTCTGAAAAATGGCTACCTTGTAAGATTGTAAAGTTTAAATGAGATAATATACTATAGGATAATTCCTACAGTGTTTGAAACTTGGTTGGTACTTAGTGAACGGTAGCTTTTTTTTTTTTGGTCAGAGGGCAGAGGGAGAGTAAGTAAATGAATACGAATGGGGGTGTTTTTATGAATATAAAGTTGGAACGATTAAAAATTAAAAAACATTCTGCAACTAGAAAGTCAAGGTTAAGTTCATAATATTTTGATTGCCCTAAGGTAACCCAGGTAACATGGATGTCTGACACATCTGACACGTGGGTGTTGGCACACCCTTTTTTTTTTTTTTTGCAGTTCGAGGGCCTCTCACTGTTGTGGCCTCTCCCATTGCGGAGCACAGGCTCCGGATGTGCAGGCTCAGCGGCCATGGCTCACGGGCCCAGCAGCTCCACAGCATGTGGGATCTTCCCGGACCGGGGCACGAACCCGCATCCCCTGCATCGGCAGGCAGACTCTCAACCACTGCGCCACCAGGGAAGCCCATGGCACACCCATTTTCTGACTGAAGCTGGTTCTCTTGGTTGTGTGGTTACACTCACCATGTGATTTGCGCCTCTGCTCTGTGGGCCATTTCACATGGAGCATCTTCACACTGTACTGCATAGGAAGCATGGCAAGGAGCTACTACTCCACCTATTCTTAGAAACCCTTGGAAAAGGCCGAGCTAATATAACAGCTGTTCTTATTTCCTCCTTGGAACTCTTGTGAACTGACTGGTCCCTCATGGCAAGAGTAGCTTGTCGTCCCGCCCTTCCTAATGCAGACTGGGGCTCTACGCCACCTCCTTCTTAGAGTGACCACTGACCTCATAGTTGTAGGTTCGTCACATTTGACCTTCCCAGACTGTGGGATTCTGCTGACTCTCATTTCCTCCTCGAACCTCTCTTGTTCCTCAGTTTCCCAAGGAACGTCTTGGTGCTCCTTGTCGGCAATCCCCGCCCCCACAATCCAGGCATCGTTCCTCTCTTTCTATCTCGTCTGTCCACGAGACTGGTGCAGCATGGCTTCTGAGGTGCTTAGCTCATTCCTTGTTCTCTCCCTTTCTTAGAAAAGATGATTCCCTTGGCTTCTGATCTAGCCCTGTCTTCAGAGCCCTGGATCCATATTTTGCCCCTACTGGCTGGACTCCTTGACCCAGCTCTCTCACTAGTACTTCATATTCAACACACCTGTCATGATCAAGGACATCACCCAAGCTAATGTTCTTCAAAGCAATGAATCTCACTTGGGAGGGGGTGTGATGGGGATTATGGACCCCATTGAGAATACATTTTGCATATCAATCACATACGTTTTACATGTAAACCCATACTCTCCAGTGACCTTGGACTCAAGACCTTTGTCTCTTTTTGAAAATGTCTCTAAGTTCCATGTCAGATTTCTTTCCCCTTGGCTCTCGCCTGCATTGATGGAAGACTTCTTTAACTGCTCTCTTGGCCTCAGTGGCTCCGTTAATTCAGAACTGCCTATTGCTGGCAAGTTGATTTTGCTAAAGCACGGCATAGAGAACAGTAGTCTTCACTTCAGCCACCTTCAGTGGCTCACGGAGAACTCCGAACACCCCAGCAACCCGGAAGTGCTGTGCACTGAGGTCCCAGTTCCCTTCCCAGGCTCATCTTCCCCACGCATGTGCTGCAGCCTCAGGCCCTCCGTGGCCCCTCTCACTCGGCCATAGCACAGCGCCCACCCTCACCTGAGCCTTCCTCCAAACTGCTCGGAGCACCGCAGGGTTCCCTTTCGAAGCCTCTGTTTTTCCCCCGGGGTCCAGTTCACACTTGCATCTCCTGTGAGCCCTTGCGCAGTTTCTCCATTTGGCAGTAGCGGCCTTTTCCTCCGAGTTTCTTTGATGAGCTAATTACGTCTCTTATTCCACGAACCACGTTTGGATTCATTATGGTCTGTGTGCGGCTTCCTGGGAGGCCAAGGGCCCTGCACGAAGCACACGTTGAAGGAATGATGGGCTAAATGAGCGAGTCAACCCACTCTTTGGGCTGTTACTCCTCTTAAGAACCAGAGGGGTCCCCAGAGGGCTCAAAAGGTCCATGGTTGGTCTGTTCATACCCCTGAGCTGTTGAAACTTTTCCTGTGTTGAGACCTCTCCCTCCCTTTTCAGGAGCCCCCCTCTTCACCATTCTCACAGCTGGGGCTTGAGGTGTCACCCCTTGAGGAATTAGGTTTGTCCCGACTGTCAGAGAGGCAGTGCAGCAGAGCCATTGAGGTGTGGTCTTGCGGCCACCTTCCGGGGTGTCTGTCCCAGCTCTGCCTCTGCTTGCTGGTGGGGTCGTGGGCACCAGGGTCAAGGTATCTGTTCACTTGGTGCCTCAGTTTTCTTTTCTTTTTTTTCTCCCCAACAGGGAGCCCTGTAGTATCTGTCTCCTGGGGTAATAGTGAGAAATAGAAAGGCGATAACCCTTGTAAGGTGCATACATAGCATGGCGCGAGGCACATAGTGAGCATTCATTAAAGGAGTGTAAGGTCCTGGGAGGTGCTTGTCAGCTTCTAGGTCAAGGATAATTAGCTGGCAGCATGCGGACCACTAGGGCCCACACGTGAAGGTACTGTTTTGTTGGGTTCAGGGAGTGTGAGGAGTGACTACGGAAGCTTTGAAAATAACAGGAAATATGGCGGAGTGGACTGGATTTATGATTTCTCTTGAAAACATTAGAAGATCTGCGATTATCAATACAGTGGTTAAGAACATGAGCTCAGAGGGGCTTCCCTGGTGGCGCAGTGGTTGAGGGTCCGCCTGCCGATGCAGGGGGCGCGGGTTCGTGCCCCGGTCCGGGAGGATCCCACATGCTGCGGAGCGGCTGGGCCCGTGAGCCATGGCCGCTGAGCCTGCGCGTCCGGAGCCTGTGCTCCGCAATGGGAGAGGCCACAACAGTGAGACGCCCGCGTACCGCAAAAAAAAAAAAAAAAGAATATGAGCTCGGAAGCCAGAGTCTGAATTAAGAGTCCTAGCCTTGCTACTTATAAGTCGTGTGACCCCGTGCCAGTTGCTTAACTTCTCTGTTTCTCAACTTCTTTATCTCTAAAATGGAAATAACAATAGCACTTGATAGGCTTCCTGGGATTATTAAACGGACCAGCATATTTAAACCTCTTGACATGCTTGCCTGGTACCTAGTAAATAGTGAGTAATGTGTGCTGTTTTTGTCGTTGCTGATGCTGGTTTTACTATTGCTGTGGCTACCAACTAGCAACCCTGGGCCCCAGTTTCCTCCCGTGCCAACAGCTGGCACTGAGTAGTAGATGCTCCCCTAAGTGGGACGTGAACTTTCCAGGTAGCTGTAGTTCATGCCACTGCCTGTCACCTTATATCTGTCCTGCTCTCTTTGTAACAATGTTGTTTGTCTCCTGTTGACAGATCTCACCCTTGGGCACTCATGTCCAGGAGTGCAGTGCTGTGCTGTGAATCAGTCCTTACGGATGTATGAACCTCAAGGAACTTTTAGCACCGGGGTTCTTAACATGTGGCCCAAATCGATAGCATCCTTATCTCCTGGAAACTTATTCCCAGGCTTCACCCCAGACCTACTGAATCAGAAACTCTGGAGGTGGGCCTTGCAATCTGTGTTTTAAGAATCCTTCCAGCTGGCTCTGGTACCTGCTAAAGTTTGAAAACTACTGATTTAACACATGCGTCCTATATTCATATTACCTACATTTGGTTTCCATGTAAAGTTTAAAATGTGGAGTTGTGTTTCCAGGCACTTCAATTGATTTGTAAGGGCTGCTGTCTTTTCAGTGTGTACTCCCTTAGCTATTAAACACAGCTGGGTGCGGGTTCCTCTGCTGTGG